AGAGGTCTATAAAATGACAGATATGGAGAAAGTGAATAAGGCAAAGTTATTTACTTGTTCCCAGAAGAACTAGGAGTCACCAAGTGGAATTAATAGGTAGCACGTTTAAAACAAACCAAAGGAAGTATTTCTTCACACAACAGACAGCCAACCTGTGGAACTCCTTGCCAGAGGATGTTGTGAAGATCAGGACTGTAACAAGGTTCAAAAAAAGAGCAAGATAAATTAATGGAGGACAGGTTCATCAATACTTATTAGCTAGAATGGATAGAAATGGCGTCCCTAGCCTCTGTTTGTCAGTCTGGAAATGGGCGACAGAGGAAGGATCAGTTGATTCCCTGTTCTGTTCATTCCCTCTGGGGCACCTGGCATTGGCCACTGTCGGCAGACAGGATACTGGGCTAGACAGACCTTTGGCCTGATCTACTACGGCCGTTTTTATAACCCTTACAAATTGGAAGGAAAATGCTCAAAGAACATGGGACAAATTCCACCGCAGCCCCTATACGCCACTACAGGGCAGGGAACTCTTACCCTACCTGGGTTTTCACTGCAGGCCCCACCCTGCTCTCGGTGAGAGCGCCCAGCACCCAATCGCACGGCCACAGGGTCCAGCACGGCAGCACTGCATTAACTGAGCTGCAATTTTGATGGTAAAATCCCCAAAGTTGCTTTGTGCTGTTGATCGATCTTTCTAGCAAGCAAGGAACCTCCACCCCTCAGGGAAACACATGCTCACAATTCTGAGCTCGCAATTCAGAGCCACACAGGCAAATGCACTGGACTCAGCTGGTGCTTTAAGGGGAGATCTCTGGGTCAAAACTGCCATGAGGGACCTTTTTCCCCTTTACGCAGCCATGCAGCGTGGCTGATGCCACAACATTCAGCAGCTGAATTATACCCTGTGCCTGCCCCCTTCCCCCGGCTCTACCGCAGTGATAATGTCTGAGAAGAGAGGAGGGGACAGATGTGTGCCTGAGATGGACACAGACATCTCTGCAGACCAAGTTTCCTCTTCCCTCTTCCTTTGGGGGAGGAGAACAGAAATCCTATTTTCGTGCAATGGAACCTCCGTCAACAGCTGCTACCAAACAGGCAAGGGAGCAAATTCAGTAAAGAACAAAATGTAAAATCCACAGGCTCAGCTTGGACCTGGTGCTTTGCCCCTGACTAGGCTGGAGTGTCAAAAGCCAACTGCAGCCTTCTAGTGTGAACCAGAACGGGCAGCACAGCAGTAGGTGGGCATGGTTGCTTGGTTATGGTTGTGCAAGGACAGGTACCCACAGTGAATACAGCACATCCATCCCACTGGCATGGGGAAAAGCCACTTCCTCTGCAGGATGAGGGGGTAGGCCAGCAAACCCCAGCACCTCCTCTGGGTTCCTACAGCTCAACTAGTCTAGGGGGCTGATGTGCAAAACCTGACCACCACATGCACCCCCCCCATGCCAAAGCTGCCAACAGGCTTAGAAAGACACAGCACACAGGGCAATTGGAAAAAGGCTTCCAGGCCCTCCCAGGGAATGTTACAGTCACTCTGCAGAGACATACAAGGCACGTCCGGGTGAGGAAGCAGCACTGTGGCTCCAAAAGGGAGCAGAGCTGCCCATACACTGGGGGAGAGAGGAATATTTATCTAGTCAATATCAGGAGTTTCAAAGGGGGCTAAGGGCATTGGGCTCCAGCTGAGTTCTTAGTCCCCTTTGGGATGCCCAACTAGATGCTAAACAAATACTGTGGCAGCAGCATGTATTAGAAGTGACTCCTCTGGGTTAAGCATGACACACGCCGGGAAGTAGTGGCAGTTAGGAGCCCAAGATATGGGTCGGGTAATGGTAGGTGCCGCATATGCCCAGAATGGAGACACGGCCTAGAAAACAGTCACATTTTTAAGCACACAGGTATGAATTTATTCTCTCCCAATTCACGCCAAGCACTGTAACACCTCTCAATAAATAACTGTAATCCATTCCCAACTGGCAGTCACGCTGGGGTCTAGTGACCCAGAAACAAATTTAAAAAGAGACAGACACATCGTGTTAAACAGGGACAATGAATAAATACAGGCTCTGGCTCTTTGAGGTCTGACGTACCATGGGAGGAGAGGACCCATGGCAAGAACCAGCAGCGTACGCTGCACACATCAGTCCTTCTTCATGCGGAACCGGATTTCCATCTTTAAAATCATTTTAATGTTCTCATCTTCTATGTGCTTTTCCACAGCTGCCAAGGCCTGTTCCCCCCCGTCCTGATAGTGTTTCTGCAGCTCCTCTACGTACGCAATCCAAACGCAATTGTGGCAGCCGCTCATACAGCAGTTAGTGGGGGGAAGGAGTGTTGGGGGCTTGGAAAAGGGGGGCTCTGTGTCCTTCAAAGTTTCCGAGCCCCCTGTCACGCAGGGCTCTCCGGCGCTCTGCTGGGGATCAGTCTGAGAGCCATCTCCTCGGGTGTCTGAACGGTGGCTGAAACTGGCCTTTGTCATATCCACAGAAAGCCTCTGAAGGCAGCAAAAGCAGCTTTTTGGGCGGTCTCTGCGTGGGAGCCCCTTCCAGAAAGCAAGCCCCCGCCTCAGCAGTCGCCAGCACTCGGTGCACCTGAAGCGTTGTAGATGTGCCTGGCAATTAATAACAAGCTTACAAGAGGCGTCGAACTCTCACACACCACGGGCTCTGCTCCATTGCTCTGATGGGCTATGGGGCCTACCCACGCAGAGCTAGTGGAGCATGGGGCAAGGCTGGCATCCTCACTCACATCGCCGCGGGGGAGGCTCAGGCGCAGGGAGGAAGGGAAGCGACAGAAGGCAGGACTGGGTCCAGCCAGCGCACTCAACAACCCCGTATTGGGTATGGAGGAGATGGTCCAAACACAGACATGGGATGCCTCCGTCTCTGAACAGCCCCGCCTCCCAGCAGCCCCCCCACCAACACGCCAGCCACCTGCAACACAGACCCCCACAACCCCCCCGCTCCGAC